CACACAGAGACCCATAGCTTCACACAGAGACCCATAGCCTCACACAGAGACCCATAGCCTCACACAGAGACCCATAGCCTCACACAGAGACCCATAGCCTCACACAGAGACCCCTAGACCCATAGATTCACACAGATCCATCGACTCACACAGACCCATAGACCCACAGAGACCCATAGACCCACAGAGAGCCGTAGACTCACACACAGACCCATAGACTCACACAGAGACCCACAGACTCACACAGAGACCCACAGACTCACAGAGACCCACAGACTCACACAGAGACCCATAGACCCACAGAGACCCACAGACTCACACAGAGACCCACAGACTCACACAGAGACCCGTAGGCTCACACAGAGACCCGTAGACTCACACAGAGACCTTTAGACTCGCACAGTAACCCTTAGACTCACACAGAGACACAGACTCACACAGAGACCCACAGACTCGCACAGAGACCCACAGACTCACACAGAGACCCACAGACTCACACAGAGACCCACAGACTCACACACAGACCCATAGACTCACACAGAGACCCATAGACTCACACACAGACCCACAGACTCACACAGAGACCCACAGACTCACACAGAGACCCATAGACTCACACAGAGACCCACAGACTAACACAGAGACCCACAGACTCACACAGAGACCCTTAGACTCACACAGAGACCCATAGACTCACACAGAGACCCTTAGACTCACAGAGACCCATAGACTCACACAGAGACCCTTAGACTCGCACAGAGACCCATAGACTCACACAGAGACCCACAGACTCACACAGAGACCCTTAGACTCACACAGAAACCCTTAGACTCGCACAGGGACCCTTAGACTCGCACAGGGACCCTTAGACTCACACAGAGACCCTTAGACTCACACAAAGACCCTTAGACTCACACAGAGACCCTTAGACTCACACAGAGACCCTTAGACTCACACAGAGACCCACAGACTCACACAGAGACCCACAGACTCACACAGAGACCCGTAGACTCACACAGAGACCCTTAGACTCACACAGAGACCCATAGACTCACAGAGACCCTTAGACTCACACAGAGACCCTTAGACTCGCACAGAGACTCACAGACTCACACAGAGACCCATAGACTCACACAGAGACCCACAGACTCACACAGAGACCATTAGACTCACACAGAGACCCGTAGACTCACACAGAGACGCACAGACTCACACAGAGACCCTTAGACTCACACAAAGACCCACAGACTCGCAGAGACCCATAGCCTCACACAGAGAACCATAGCCTCACACAGAGACCCTTAGACTCACACAGAGACACATAGACTCACACAGAGACCCACAGACTCACACAGAGACCCTTAGACTCACACAGAGACCCTTAGACTCACACAGAGACCCGTAGACTCACACAGAGACCCACAGACTCGCGCAGAGACCCACAGACTCACGCAGAGACCCATAGACTCACACTCAGACCCACCCTTGCTGGGTGATCTTTGTACAGCCCATTATCCAGCAGTGGATGGATCATGGTGGTGGCAGTAAACCCGATGTGTTTCGTGCGAGTTCTCAGCTGGTTTATCGACTTGCGTGTAGACGTGTGTGAGTGTACACGTGTGTGGTTACACGTGTGTCTTTGTACACGTGTGAGTCTTTGTACACGTGTGAGTCTTTGTACACGTGTGAGTCTTTGTACACGTGTGTGAGTTTACACGTGTGTGGTTGCACGTGTGAGTGTACACGTTTGTGTGTGTTTACACGTGTGTGGTTACACGTGTGAGTGTTTGTACACGTGTGAGTGTTTGTACACGTGTGAGTGTTTGTACACGTATGTGTTTACACGTGTGTGCTTACACGTGAGTGTACACGCGTGAGTGTACACGCGTGTGTCTACACGTTTGTGTTTACACGTGTGTGTTTACACGTGTGAGTGTACACGTGTGTGTGTTTACACGTGTGTGTTTACACGTGTGTGGTTACACGTGTGTGGTTACACGTGTGAGTGTACACGTGTGTGTTTACACGTTTGTGAGTGTACACGTGTGTGTCGACACGTTTGTGAGTGTACACGTGTGTGTCGACACGTGTGTGTCTACACGTGTGTGTTTACACGTGTGTGTGTGTGTTTACACTTGTGTGGTTACACGTGTGAGTCTTTGTACACGTGTGTGAGTGTACACGTGTGTGGTTGCACGTGTGAGTGTACACGTGTGTCTTTGTACACGTGTGAGTGTACACGTGTGTGTGTGTTTACACGTGTGTGGTTACACGTGTGAGTCTTTGTACACGTGTGTGAGTGTACACGTGTGTGTGTGTGTTTACACTTGTGTGGTTACACGTGTGTCTTTGTACACGTGTGAGTCTTTGTACACGTGTGTGTGTGTACATGTGTGTGGAGAGCAGTAGTGGTTAGCGCTACGCTGCGCTACAAACCCGGAGACCTGAGTTCGATTCCCGCTCACGGCCAACATCACTGACGATTGTCCGACTGGTCCCTTGGCCTCCCCTAGGTCGGCTCAGCATAAAATGAGTTAACCTGGGGCGGTGTGTAGTAAACATCGCCACTGGGGAGACAAAGGCGGTCGGGCGTGGTGCTGGCCACCCACCCCCTCGTGTGTCACAGTGCCGGTAGCCTTCATAGCTGCTGCTACTCGCTATTAACAGCACTTGCCCCAACAGTCTGTTAGAGGCTACACGGGGGATCTTTGTCTGTGTATAGGCACTGCTGCTACTCGCTACTAACAGCACTTGCCCCTACAGCCCTGCTAGAGGCTACACGGGGGATCTTTGTCTGTGTGTAGGCGCTTCTGCTACTCGCTACTAACAGCACTTGCCCCAAGTCTGTTAGAGGCTACATGGGGGACCTTTGTCTGTGTATAGGTGCTGCTGCTACTCGCTACTAACAGCACTTGCCCCTACAGCCCTGCTAGAGGCTACACGGGGGACCTTTGTGTATAGGCACTGCTGCTACTCGCTACTAACAGCACTTGCCCCAACAGTCTGTTAGAGGCTACACGGGGGATCTTTGTCTGTGTGTAGGTGCTGCTGCTACTCGCTACTAACAGCACTTGCCCCAACAGTCTGTTAGAGGCTACACGGGGGATATTTGTATTTGATTGTGGGCGACTACTGCCCTCTGGTGGAGATGAATGGACGTCCTAAATGAATCTCGACCATCAACGTCATGAGAATCGGGGGACACCGGGTGTCTGTGTGTGTCTGTGTGTGTCTGTGTGTGTGTCTGTGTGTGTGTCTGTGTGTGTCTGTGTGTGTGTCTGTGTGTGTCTGTGTGTCTGTGTGTGTATGTAGGTGTCTGTGTGTGTCTGTGTGAGTGTGTGTGTGTGTCTATGTGTCTGTGTGTCTGTCTGTGTGTGTCTCTATGTGTGTCTGTGTGTGTATGTGTATGTAGGTGTCTGTGTGTCTGTGTGTGTGTATGTAGGTGTCTGTGTGTCTGTGTGAGTCTGTGTGTCTGTGTGTGTCTGAGTGTGTCTGTATGTGTATGTAGGTGTCTGTGTGTATCTGTGTGTCTGTGTGTGTCTTTGTGTGTGTATGTAGGTGTCTGTGTGTATCTGTGTGTGTGTGTGTCTGTGTGTGTATGTGTCTGTGTGTGTATGTGTGTGAGTCTGTGTGTGTCTGTGTGTGTCTGTGTATGTAGGTGTCTGTGTGTGTCTGTGTGTGTCTGTGTGTGTCTGTGTGTGTGTGTCTGTGTGTGTATGTGTGTGAGTCTGTGTGTGTGTCTGTGTGTGTCTGTGTGTGTATGTAGGTGTCTGTGTGTGTGGGTGTCTGTGTGTCTGTGTGTGTGTCTGTGTGTGTGTGAGTCTATGTGTGTCTTTGTGTGTCTGTGTGTGTCTGTGTGTGTATGTAGGTGTCTGTGTGTGTGTGTGTGAGTCTGTGTGTGTCTGTGTGTGTCTGTGTGAGTCTGTGTGTGTCTGTGTGAGTCTGTGTGTGTCTGTGTGAGTCTGTGTGAGTCTGTGGGTGTCTGTGTGAGTCTGTGTGTGTCTGTGTGTCTGTGTGTGTGTCTGTAGGTGTCTGTGTGTGTCTGTGTGTGTCTGTGTGTGTGTGTCTGTGTGTGTATGTGTGTGAGTCTGTGTGTGTGTCTGTGTGTGTCTGTGTGTGTATGTAGGTGTCTGTGTGTGTGTGTGTGGGTGTCTGTGTGTCTTTGTGTGTGTCTGTGTGTGTGTGTGAGTCTATGTGTGTCTGTGTGTGTCTGTGTGTGTATGTAGGTGTCTGTGTGTGTGTGTGTGAGTTTGTGTGTGTCTGTGTGAGTCTGTGTGTGTCTGTGTGTGTCTGTGGGTGTCTGTGTGTGTGTCTGTAGGTGTCTGTGTGTGTCTGTGTGTGTCTGTGTGTGTCTGCGTGAGTCTGTGTGTGTGTGCGTGTGTCTGTGTGTATCTGTGTGTGTCTGATGTGTGAGTCCGCGTGTGTCTGCGTGAGTCTGTGTGTGTCTGTGTGTGTCTGCGTGTGTCTGTGTGTGTCTGCGTGAGTCTGCGTGTGTCTGCGTGTGTCTGTGTGTGTCTGCGTGAGTCTGCGTGTGTCTGTGTGAGTCTGTGTGTGTGTCTGTGTGTGTCTGTGTGAGTCTGTGTGTATCTTGTGTGTGTCTGTGTGTCTGTTTGTGTGAGTCTGTTTGTGTGAGTCTGTGTGTGTCTGTGTGTCTGCTGTGTGAGTCTGCGTGTGTCTGCGTGAGTCTGTGTGTGTCTCTGTGTGTGTGTGTGTCTCAGTTATCTCAGTCAATCGACCCGTGGCACCTGGGTCTGCCCCGTGACCTCCTGCCAGCGGGCGTTCGACACTCCACGTGGCCTCAATGTGCACATGGCCTGGCACAAGCGTCGTGGTGACGTCACCGCCACTTAGTGGCGAATGGCGGCTGTTGTTGTTGTTGTGTCTGTGTGTATGTCTGTGTGTGTCTGTGTGTGTGTGTCTGTGTGTGTATGTGTATGCCTCCTGTCCTTGATTGTCTTCGTATTGACTACCCGTGTCCCCTCTACCCGTGTCCCCACCAGGACGCGTTCCGTGCGTTCCACATCAACCAGGGCCTGGTGCAGCGCTACCTCAAGACTCTACTCGTGGGAGAACTCGCACCAGACCAGCCCAGCTGTGAGCCTCACAAGAACGTGAGGACCGCTCACCACTCACCGCTCACCGTTCACCACTCACCGTTCACCACTCACCGCTCACCGTTCACCGCTCACCCGCACCGCTCACCGCTCACCGCGCACCGCTCACCGCTCACCACGCACCCGCTCACCGCTCACCACTCACCCGCACCGCTCACCACTCACCCACACCACTCACCCACACCACTCATCACGCACCGCTCACCACTCACCCGCACTGCTCACCACTCACCCACACCACTCACTACTCACCACTCACCCACACCGCTCACACGCACCGCTCACCACTCACCACTCACCCACACCACTCACCGCTCACCACTCACCCGCACCGCTCACCGCTCAACACTCACCACTCACCACTCACCGCTCACCACTCACCACTCACCGCGCACCGCTCACCGCTCACCACTCACCGCTCACCACTCACCGCTCACCACGCACCGTTCACCGCTCACCACGCACCCGCTCACCGCTCACCACTCACCCGCATGGCTCACCACACACCACTCACCTGCACTGCTCACCGCTCACCACTCACCACTCACCCGCACCGCTCACCCGTTACTGATCACCCACAATGCTCAACCTCCATCTCTCTCCTTACCCCCCACCCCTCCCTCCCCTGCCTCCCTCCCCCTCCCTCCCCCTCCCTTGCCCCCTCCCTTGCCCCCTCCGTCTCCTCTCTTCATCTTCCCCCCCAATCCCCCCAATCCCCCCCCACCTCCTCAAGGCGTCGTTAACGGAGGACTTCCGCTCTCTGCGCTCCCACGTGGAGCGCTCGGGGCTCCTGCGCCCCAGCCGGATCTTCTTCTCCATCGCTCTGCTCCACATCCTCCTGCTCGACCTCCTGGCCTGGCTCAGCCTGCGGGCGCTCGGCGCCAGCCTACACGGCTGGCTCCTCACCGCCGTGCTCCTCGGCACCGTGCAGGCGAGTGGGGCTCCTCGCCCCGCTCACCACCGCCACCACCGCCACCAACCTCGCCCGCTCACCACCACCATTACCACCACCACCAACCCACAACCTCGCCCGCTCACCACCACCATTACCACCACCAACCCACAACCTCACCCGCTCACCACCATCATTACCACCACCACCAACCCACAAACTCACCCGCTCACCACCACCATTACCACCACCACCAACCCACAACTTCACGCGCTCACCACCACTACCACCACCAACTCACAACCTCGCCCGCTCACCACCACCACTACCACCACCAACCCACAACCTCGCCCGCTCACCACCACCATTACCACCACCACCAACCCACAACCTCACGCGCTCACCACCACTACCACCAACCCACAACCTCACTCGCTCACCACCACCATTACCACCACCAACCCACAACCTCACCCGCTCGCCACCACCAACCCACAACCTCACCCGCTCACCACCACTACCACCAACTCACAACCTCACCCGCTCACCACCACCGGCACCGCCACCAACCTCATCCGCTCACCACCACTACCACCACCAACCCACAACCTCACCCGCTCACCACCACTACCACCACCAACCCACAACCTCACCCGCTCACCACCACTACCACCACCAACCCACAACCTCACCCGCTAACCACCACTACCACCACCAACCCACAACCTCACCCGCTCACCACCACTACCACCACCAACCCACAACCTCACCCGCTCACCACCACTACCACCACCAACCCACAACCTCACCCGCTCACCACCACCATTACCACCACCAACCCACAACCTCACCCGCTCACCACCACTACCACCAACCCACAACCTCACCCGCTCACCACCACCACCAACTCACAACCTCACCCGCTCACCACCACCGGCACCGCCACCAACCTCATCCGCTCACCACCACTACCACCAACCCACAACCTCACCCGCTCACCACCACCACTACCACCAACCCACAACCTCACTCGCTCACCACCACTACCACCACCAACCCACAACCTCACCCGCTCACCACCACCATTACCACCACCAACCCACAACCTCACCCGCTCACCACCACCAACCCACAACCTCACCCGCTCACCACCAACTTACAATTTCATCCGCTCACCACCACCACTACCACCAACCCACAACCTCAACCACTCACCACCACTACCACCACCAACCCACAACCTCACCCGCTCACCACCACTACCACCAACCCACAACCTCACCCGCTCACCACCACTACCACCAACCCACAACCTCACCCGCTCACCACCACCACTATCACCACCAACTCACAACCTCACCCGCTCACCACCACTACCACCAACCCACAACCTCACCCGCTCACCACCACTATCACCACCAACTCACAACCTCACCCGCTCACCACCACTACCACCAACCCACAACCTCACCCGCTCACCGCCACCACCACCACCAACTCACAACCTCGCCCGCTCACCACCACTACCACCACCAACCCACAACTTCACCCGCTCACCACCACCACTATCACCACCAACTCACAACCTCACTCGCTCACCACCACCAACCCACAACCTCACCCGCTCACCACCACTACCACCAACCCACAGCCTGATGATGGCTGATGATGGTGATGGCTGATGACGATGATGGCTGATGATGATGATGGCTGATGATGATGGCTGATGATGATAATGGCTGATGATGATAATGGCTGATGATGGCAATGGTTGATGATGATAATGGCTGATGATGATAATGGCTGATGATGATGGATGATGATGATAATGGCTGATGATGGCAATGGTTGTTGATGATAATGGCTGATGATGATAATGGCTGATGATGATGGATGATGATGATAATGGCTGATGATGGTAATAATGAATGATGACAATGGCTGATGATGGTAATAATGAATGATGATGATGGCTGATGATGGTGATAATGAATGATGATGATGATGGCTGATGATGATATTGGCTGATGATGATGATGGCTGATGATGATGGCTGATGATGGTGATAATGAATGAATGATGATGATATTGATGCCTGATGATGGCGATAATGAATGAATGATGATGATGGCTGATGATGGTGATAATGAATGATGATGATGGCTGATGATGATGATGATTGCTGATGATGACGATGGTTGATGATGATAATTGCTGATGATGATGGATGATGATGGTAATAATGAATGATGATGGCTGATGATGGTGGTAATGAATGAATGATGATGGATGATGATGATGATGGCTGATGATGATAATGAATAATGAATGAATGATGATGATGGTGATAATGAATGATTGATGATGGTGATGGTGATAATGAATGAATGATGATGATGGTGATAATGAATAATGAATGAATGATGATGATGATGATGGATGATGATGGTAATAATGAATGATGATGGCTGATGATGGTGGTAATGAATCAATGATGATGGCTGATGATGATGATGGTTGATGATGATGATGGCTGATGATGATAATGAATAATGAATGAATGATGATAATGAATAATGAATGAATGATGATGATGGTGATAATTAATGATTGATGATGATGATGATGGTGATAATGAATGAATGATGATGATGGTGATAATGAATAATGAATGAATGATGATGATGGACGTCTGCAGGCCCAGGCTGGGTGGCTCCAGCACGACTTTGGCCATCTCTCCGTGTTCCCCACCTCGCGCTGGAACCACTGGGTTCACAAGTTCGTCATCGGTCACCTCAAGGTGATCCACTGCTCACTGCGTGTGGGTGGGCGCGTGCCCCTCCCCCTAGCCCACAGCCCCCCCTCCCCCCCCCCCTTTGGTAACCACGAGTTCGATTTCCCGCACGGTGACGATCATCTGAACCGGTCCTGGACCTCATCCCCTAGGTCGGCTCAGCCTCAAATGAGCACCTGGTGTAGCAGGTGTATAGTGAACATCGCCACTGGGGAGACAAAGGCGGCCGGGCGTGGTGCTGCTGGCCACCCACCCCCTCTGTGTGCGTCACAGTGCCGGTAGCCTTCACGGGTGCTGCTACTCGCTAAGCGGATACTTGCCCCTGCAGTCTGTTCAAGGCTACACGGGGGAGCTTTGTCTTTGCCCCAGGGGAGCGCCAGGTTGTGCCCTAAGGGCGTTCTGCAAGGAGGGTTCCCCTCCCAGGGACCGGTGGATCTCAGAGACAGAGACCCATAGACTCGCATAGAGACCCGTAGACTCGCACAGAGACTCGTAGACTCACACAGAGATCCATAGACTCGCACAGAGACCCGTAGACTCACGTAGAGACCTATAGACTCACATAGAGACCCGTAGACTCACACAGAGACCCGTAGACTCACATGAGACCCGTAGACTCGCAAAGAGACCCGTAGACTCGCACAGAGACCTGTAGACTCGCATAGTAACCCGTAGACTCGCACAGTGATCCATAGACTCGCACAGAGACCTGTAGACTCACACAGAGACCCGTAGACTCAGAGACCCATAGACTCACACAGAGTCCCATAGACTCGCACAGAGACCCATAGACTCAGAGACCCATAGACTCGCACAGAGACCCATAGACTCACACAGAGACCCATAGACTCGCACATAGACCCGTAGACTCGCACAGAGACCCGTAGACTCGCACAGAGACCCGTAGACTCGCACAGAGACCCGTAGACTCACACAGAGACCCGTAGACTCGCACAGAGACCCATAGACTCGCACAGAGACCCGTAGACTCAGAGACTCGTAGACTCAGAGACCCGTAGACTCACACAGAGACCCATAAACTCGCACAGAGACCCATAGACTCACACAGAAACCCATAGACTCACACAGAGACCCATAGACTCACACAGACCCATAGACTTACAGAGACCCATAGACTCACACAGAGACCCATAGACTCACACAGAGACCCATAGACTCACAGACACTCATAGACTCACACAGAGACCCATAGACTCACACAGAGACGCATAGACTTACAGAGACCCATAGACTCACACAGAGACACATAGACTCACACAGAGACCCATAGACTCACACAGAGACCCATAGACTCACACAGAGACCCATAGACTCACACAGAGACCCATAGACTCGTACAGAGACCCATAGACTCGCACAGAGACCCGTAGACTCGCACAGAGACGCATAGACTCGCACAGAGACACAGAGACTCACAGAGAGACCTATAGACTCACACAGAGACACATGGACTTACAGACAGAGACCCATAGACTCGCACAGAGACCCATAGACTCACACAGAGACCCATAGACTCACAGAGACCCATAGACTCACAGAGACCCATAGACTCACATAGAGACCCATAGACTCGCACAGAAACCCATAGACTCACAGAGACCCATAGACTCACAGAGACCCATAGACTTACAGAGACCAATAGACTCACATAGACCCATAGACTCACTGAGACCCATAGACTTACAGAGACACATAGACTCACACAGAGACCCATAGACTCACACAGAGACCCATAGACTCGTACAGAGACCCATAGACTCGCACAGAGACCCGTAGACTCGCACAGAGACGCATAGACTCGCACAGAGACACAGAGACTCACAGAGAGACCTATAGACTCACACAGAGACACATGGACTTACAGACAGAGACCCATAGACTCGCACAGAGACCCATAGACTCACACAGAGACCCATAGACTCACAGAGACCCATAGACTCACATAGAGACCCATAGACTCACACAGAGACCCATAGACTCGCACAGAAACCCATAGACTCACAGAGACCCATAGACTCACAGAGACCCATAGACTTACAGAGACCAATAGACTCACATAGACCCATAGACTCACTGAGACCCATAGACTTACAGAGACACATAGACTCACACAGAGACCCATAGACTCACAGAGACGCATAGACTCACACAGAGACCCATAGACTTACACAGAGACACATAGACTCACAGAGACGCATAGACTTACACAGAGACACAGACTCACACAGAGACCCATAGACTCACACAGAGACCCATAGACTCACACAGAGACTCATAGACTCGCACAGAGACCCATAGACTCACACAGAGACCCGTAGACTCACACAGAGACACATAGACTTACAGACAGAGACGCATAGACTCACACAGAGACCCATAGACTCACACAGAGACCCGTAGACTCACACAGAGACCCATAGACTCACACAGAGACCCTTAGACTCACAGACACTCATAGACTCACACAGAGGCCCATAGACTCACACAGAGACGCATAGACTTACAGAGACCCATAGACTCACACAGAGACACATAGACTCACACAGAGACCCATAGACTCACACAGAGACCCATAGACTCGTTCATAGACCCATAGACTCACACAGAGACCCATAGACTCACACAGAGACCCATAGACTCACACAGAGACCCAAAGACCCACACAGAGACCCATAGACTCGTACAGAGACCCATAGACTCGCACAGAGACCCGTAGACTCACTCAGAGACACATCGACTCACACAGAGACCCATAGACTTACACACAGAGACCCTTAAACTCACAGAGACTCATAGACTCACACAGAGACCCATAGACTCACACAGAGACGCATAGACTTACAGAGACCCATAGACTCACACAGAGACACATAGACTCACACAGAGACCCATAGACTCACACAGAGACCCATAAACTTACAGAGACTCATAGACTCACACAGAGACCCATAGACTCACACAGAGACGCATAGACTTACAGAGACCCATAGACTCACACAGAGACACATAGACTCACACAGAGACCCGTAGACTCACACAGAGACCCGTAGACTCACACAGAGACCCGTAGACTCACACAGAGACGCATAGACTCGCACAGAGACCCATAGACTCACACAGAGATGCATAGGCTCACACAGAGACCCATAGACTCACACAGAGACCCATAGACTCACAGAGACCCATAGACACACAGAGACCCATAGACTTACACACAGAGACCCTTAAACTCACAGACACTCATAGACTCACACAGAGACCCATAGACTCGCACAGAGACCCATAGACTCACACAGAGACCCGTAGACTCGCACAGAGACCCGTAGACTCACACAGAGACGCATAGACTCACAGGCACAGACCCGCAGAGGATCTGCGAGCGTGAGCCTTTTCACCTCTCTGCGGAGGCAATCTGAGAGAGCTTTGTAAGTCATCGGATTCCTCCAGGATCAGCGAAGAGGCTTTCCGCGGTTGCTCCCTCGCAGGGCGCTCCGGCCAGCTGGTGGAACCACCTCCACTTCCAGCACCACGCCAAGCCCAACGTCTTCCGCAAGGACCCCGACATCAACATGCACCCGCTGCTCTTCGCGCTGGGAAAGACGCTCGCCACGGAGGTTCGGTAGGGGGTGGAGGGGGGGGGGTGGGTGGGGAGAGGGGGAGCGGGGGTAGAGGGGTTGGAGGAGGTGGGTGGAGAGAGAGATGGGGGGGGGGGGAGAGGAGGGGAGAGGGGTGGAGACGGGGGGGAGAGACGGGGGTTGAATGGGGGGGGGGGAGAGACGGGGAGGGAGAGACGGGGGGGGAGAGACGGGGGGGAGAGACGGGGGGGAGAGACGGGGGGGAGAGACGGGGGGGGGGAGAGACGGGGGGGGAGAGACGGGGGGGGAGAGACGGGGGGGAGAGACGGGGGGGAGAGACGGGGGGGGAGAGACGGGGGGGAGAGACGGGGGGAGAGACGGGGGGGAGAGACGGGGGTTTGAATGGGGGGGGGAGAGACGGGGATTGAATGGTGGTGGGGGGGGAGAGACCGGCGTTGAATGGAGTTGAGAGACGGGGGGGAGTGGGGGTTGAATGGCGGGGGGGAGAGACGGGGGAGAGCCGGGGGTTGAATGGGGGGGAGAGACGGGGGTTGTATGGGGGGGGGAGACGAGGGGGAGTGGGGGTTGAATGGGGGGGGGGAGAGAGATTGAAGACTGAGACAAGAATTCCCGGGGGACATCCCGGTTGGAATAGAGGAGGGTTAAACGGCCGTGGTACAGGCTAGGTGAAGATATGGCCTGGTCAGTGGGTGACTTAGTGGGTGGGTGAGTAGGTGCGTAAGTGAGTGGGTCAGTGGGTGGGTGAGTGAGTAGGTGAGTGGGTGGGTGAGTGGCTGCGTGGGTGGGTGAGTGAGTGAGTGGGTGAGTGAGTGGATGGGTGGGTGAGTGAGTGGGTGGGTGCGTGAGTGAGTGCGTGAGTGGGTGGGTGGGTGAGTGGGTGAGTGGGTGGGTGTGTGAGTGAGACAGTGAGTGAGTGGGTCGATGGGTGCGTGGATGGATGAGTGTGCATGCGAGTGTGTGTGTGTAGGTGTGTTGTGGGGAGCGGTAGGAGGCACAGGTGGTGCATCAGCCAGTCATCTCAGTCAGTCGACCCTTGGAACCTGGGTCTGCCTCCTTGTCCTCCTGCCGGGGGGCGTTCGCTACTTCACGTGGCCTTAACGTGCACATGGCCTGGCACAAGCGCCATGCTGACGTCACCACCATTTAGTGGCCAATGGCGGTTGTTGTTGTGGGGAGCGGTAGTGTTAGCGTTTAGCGCTACTCTGCGCTACGAACCTGGCAACCCGAGTTCGATTCCCGCTCACGGCCAACACCGGTGACGATTATCTGAACCGGTCCTGGGCCTCCCCTAGGTCGACTCTGCCTCAAATGAGTGCCTGGTGCGGTGTGTAGTAGACATCGCCACTGGGGAGACAAAGGCGGCCGGGCGTGGTGCTGGCTACCCACCCCCTCGTGTGCCGTCCCGGCCTTGATAGGCGCTGCTCGCTAACGGTGCTTGCCCCGACAATCTGTTGAGGCTAGATGGGGGACCTTTGTCTGTGTGCCACAGCTGGGTGAACAGAAGAAAAAGTACATGCCCTACAATCACCAGCACAAGTACTTCTTCCTGTGTGAGTACCACCTCACTCGCTCGTCCACTCGCTCGTCCACTCGCTCAATCGTCCACTCACTCACTCATGCACTCAATGAATCGTCCACTCACTCGCTCGTCCACTCACTCGCTCATCCACTCACTCGCTCATCTACTCACTCAATCGTCCACTCACTCGCTCATCTACTCACTCACGTATCCACTCACTCATCCACTCGTTCGCTCATCCACTCGCTCACTCGCTCATCCACTCACTCGCTCATCTACTCACTCAATCGTCCACTCACTCGCTCATCTACTCACTCACGTATCCACTCACTCATCCACTCGTTCACTCATCCACTCGCTCGCTCGCTCATCCACTCACTCGCTCATCCGCTCACTCATCCACTCGCTCGCTCATCCGCTCACTCATCCACTCACTCATCCACTCGCTCGCTCATCCGCTCACTCATCCACTCACTCGCTCATCCATTCACTCATCCACTCACTCATCCACTCATCCACTCACTCGCTCATCCACTCACTCACCTATCCACTTACTCATCCACCCACCCACTCACGGGGGTGGCTACTTCCTCCGAGTTGCGAGCAACTCCCTCCACCCAACCCGGCTACACCCCTCACACCTGCCTGACGCTCGCCCCCTCCCCTCCCCTCCTCCCCCCCTCCCCCCTCCACCCCCTCCACCCCCCTCCCCCCTCCCCCCCTCCCCCCCTCCTTTCCCCCTCCCCCACCCGGCCACTGCCCCCCCACCACTTTGCATGGTGGGGGTGCGGTGTTGACAGTGGGACCTCCGGCACTCATCCCTCTCTACTTCCAGTGGTACATCTTTGTGTTCGCCATCAAGAGGAAGCAGTGGGCGGTGAGACACACGGAGACACACGCAGACACACACACAGACACACGGAGACACACGGAGACACAGACACACGGAGACACACAGACACACGGAGACACACAGACACACGGAGACACACAGACACACGGAGACACACAGACACACGGAGACACACAGACACACGGAGACACACAGACACACGGACACACGGAGACACACGGACACACGGAGACACACGGACACACGGAGACACACGGACACACGGAGACACACGGACACACGGAGACACACGGACACACGGAGACACACGGACACACGGACACACGGAGACACACGGAGACACACAGACACACGGAGACACACAGACACACGGAGACACACAGACACACGGAGACACACAGACACACGGAGACACACAGACACACGGAGACACACAGACACACGGAGACACACAGACACACGGAGACACACAGACACACGGAGACACACAGACACACGGAGACACACAGACACACGGAGACACACGGAGACACACAGACACACGGAGACACACAGACACACGGAGACACACAGACACACGGAGACACACAGACACACGGAGACACACAGACACACGGAGACACACAGACACACGGAGACACACAGACACACGGAGACACACAGACACACGGAGACACACAGACACACGGAGACACAGACACACGGCGACACACAGACACACGGAGACACACAGACACACGGAGACACACAGACACACGGAGACACACGGAGACACACAGACACACGGAGACACACAGACACACGGAGACACACAGACACACGGAGACACGGAGACACACAGACACACGGAGACACACAGACACACGGAGACACGGAGACACACAGACACACGGAGACACACAGACACACGGAGACACACAGACACACGGAGACACACGGACACACAGACACACGGAGACACGGAGACACGGAGACACACAGACACACGGAGACACACAGACACACGGAGACACACAGACACACGGAGACACACAGACACACGGAGACACACGGAGACACGGAGACACACAGACACACGGAGACACACAGACACACGGAGACACACAGACACACGGAGACACACAGACACACGGAGACACACAGACACACGGAGACACACGGAGACACACAGATACACGGAGACACACAGACACACGGAGACACACAGACACACACGGAGACACACAGACACACGGAGACACACAGACACACGGAGACACACAGACACACGGAGACACACAGACACACGGAGACACACAGACACACGGAGACACACAGACACACGGAGACACGGAGACACACGGAGACACACAGACACACGGAGACACACAGACACACGGAGACACACGGAGACACACAGACACACGGAGACACACAGACACACGGAGACACACAGACACACGGAGACACACAGACACACGGAGACACACAGACACACGGAGACACACAGACACACGGAGACACACAGACACACGGAGACACACAGACACACGGAGACACACAGACACACGGAGACACACAGACACACGGAGACACACAGACACACGGAGACACACAGACACACGGAGACACACAGACACACGGAGACACACAGACACACGGAGACACGGAGACACACAGACACACGGAGACACACAGACACACGGAGACACACAGACACACGGAGACACACAGACACACGGAGACACACAGACACACGGAGACACGGAGACACACGGACACACGGAGACACACGGACACACGGAGACACACGGACACACGGAGACACACGGACACACGGAGACACACGGACACACGGAGACACACGGACACACGGAGACACACGGACACACGGAGACACACGGACACACGGAGACACACGGACACACGGAGACACACAGACACACGGAGACACACAGACACACGGAGACACACAGACACACGGAGACACACAGACACACGGAGACACACAGACACACGGAGACACACAGACACACGGAGACACACAGACACACGGAGACACACAGACACACGGAGACACACAGACACACGGAGACACACAGACACACAGACACGGAGACACACGGAGACACACAGACACACGGAGACACACAGACACACGGAGACACACAGACACACGGAGACACACAGACACACGGAGACACACAGACACACGGAGACACACAGACACACGGAGACACACAGACACACGGAGACACACAGACACACGGAGACACACAGACACACGGAGACACACAGACACACGGAGACACACAGACACACGGAGACACACAGACACACGGAGACACACAGACACACGGAGACACACAGACACACGGAGACACACAGACACACGGAGACACACAGACACACGGAGACACACAGACACACGGAGACACACAGACACACGGAGACACACGGAGACACACAGACACACGGAGACACACAGACACACGGAGACACACAGACACACGGAGACACACAGACACACGGAGACACACAGACACACGGAGACACACAGACACACGGAGACACACAGACACACGGAGACACACAGACACACGGAGACACACAGACACACGGAGACACACAGACACACGGAGACACACAGACACACGGAGACACACAGACACACGGAGACACACAGACACACGGAGACACACAGACACACGGAGACACACAGACACACGGAGACACACAGACACACGGAGACACACAGACACACGGAGACACACAGACACACGGAGACACACAGACACACAGACACACGCAGACACACGCAGACACACACACAAAGATAAAGATCCCCCGTATAGCCTGTAACAGACTGTAGGAGCAAGTGCTGTTAGCGAGCACCTATGAAGGCCGGAACGGTACACGAAGGGGTGGGTGGCCAGCACCACGCCCGACCGCCTTTGTCTCCCCAGTGGCGATGTTTACACACCGCACCAGGTACTCATTTGAGGCTGAGTCGACCTAGGGGAGGCCCAGGACCGGTTCAGACAATCGTCACCGGTGTTGGCCGTGAGTGGGAATCGAAACCGGGTCGCCAGGTTCGTAGCGCAGCGCGCTAACCGCTACACTATCGCTCCCCACACACACGCAGATACACACGCAGATACATAGGCACGCAGACACACAACAACAACAACCGCCATTCGCCACTAAGTGGCGGTGACGTCACCACGACGCTTGTGCCAGGCCATGTGCACCTTGAGGCCACGTGAAGTGTCGAACACCCGCTGGCAGGAGGTCACGGGGCAGACCCAGGTGCCACGGGTCGACTGACTGAGATGACTGGCTGGTGCACCACCTGTGCCCCCTACTGTGCCAACCTGCTGTGCTTTAGCCACCCGGCGCTCCGCCCGTTGTTGTGAGCATCGCTCCTCCGCCCTCCGTTGTTGTTGGAGGGCGACTGCCTCCAACTGCCCAGTAGCGTCCTTCACAAGCCTCCTCCACAGAGGCCGATCTTGACACCGCTGGTACCGGTCACCGGCAAGTCCACTCAGCTCCACATCCTCCTGTACCGCATCAGCTCCATCTCTTCTCTGGCCCCTGTTGTGCCCAATTAGCCCCCTTCTATCTGGCCGAAAAAAAAAGCTGTTTAGACATGCGGTGGCTGGCCATGCTGGCTACATGACCCAGATACACACAGACACACGGACACACACGCTGAGACAAACACAGACACTGATACACACGCAAACAAAGACACACGCAGATACATACACACGAAGACACACAGACACACACGCAGAGACACATTGAATCCAAAATCACCCTGCCACCCACTCATCCTTGCACTCATTCACCCACTCCAAACGCACTCATTCACCCACTCACCTACCCATTGATCCACCCACTTCATCATTCGCTCGCTCTCCCACCCTCCCTCGCGATGTCTCTGATGGCGGCGGCGGCGGTGGTGGTCGTGGCATTGACGGATCAGGACTTTGCGTGGATGCTGACTTTCTATTTGCGGTTCCTCATCTGCTACGTCCCCTTGCTGGGCTTGGGCGGCTCTCTGCTGATGCTCGCCTTCGTCCGGTGAGGAACACCCTCCACCCCCCTAACCCCCCCCCCACCCCACTGAGCCCCCCAACTCCCCCCCAGAAGTGCGGCGATAATTAACACAATTGAAACAATCACTCGCACACCCACGCAATCACTCGCACACCCGCACAATCACTCGCACACCCGCACAATCACTCACACACCCACACAATCACTCACACACACCCACACAATCACTCACGCACTCAAACAAACACTCACACACCCACACAATCACTCACACACTCACACAGTCACTCACACACCCACACAATCACTCACACACCCACACAATCACTCACACACCCACACAATCACTCACACACACCCACACAATCACTCACACACTCAAACAAACACTCACACACCCACACAATCACACACACATCCACACAAATCACTCACACACCCACACAATCACACAATCACTCACACACTCACTCACAGACCCACACAATCACACACTCACACAATCACTCACACAATCACTCACACACTCACACAATCACTCACACAATCACTCACATACCTACACAATCACTCACACAGTCACTCACACACCCACACAATCACCCACACAATCACTCACACACCCACACAATCACACACACACACACTCACACAATCACACACACACCCACACAATCACTCACACACCCACACAATCACTCACACAATCACTCACACACCCACACAATCACTCACACACCCACACAATCATACACACACACAATCACACACACTCACACAATCACACACACACACACTCACACAATCACACACACACCCACACAATCACTCACACACTCACACAATCACTCACACACCCACGCAATCACTCACACACTCACACAATCACTCACACAATCACTCACACACCCACACAATCACACACCCACACAATCACTCACTCACACACCCACACAATCACTCACACAATCACTGACACACCACCACAATCACTCACACACCCACACAATCACTCACACAATCACTCACACACCCACACAATCACTCACACACCCACACAATTACTCACACACACACACAATCACTCACACAATCACACAATCACTCACACACCCACACAATCACTCACACACACCCACACAATCACTCGCACACCCACACAATCACTCACACACACCCGCACAATCACTCGCACACCCACACAATCACACACACACATCCACACAATCACTCACACACACACACAATCACTCACACACCCACACAATCACTTACACACCCACACAATTACTCACACATCCACACAATCACTCACACAATCACTCACACACCCACACAATCACTCACACACCCACACAATCACTCGCACACCCACACAATCACGCGCACACACACACACAATCACTCACACACCCATACAATCACTCACACACCCACACACTCACTCGCACACTCACACAATCTCTCACACACCCACACACAATCACTCACACACTCACACAATCACTCGCACACCCACACAATCACTCACACACACCCACACACTCACTCGCACACTCACACAATCACTCACACACACCCACACAATCACTCACACACTCACACAATCACTCGCACACCCACACACTCACTCGCACACCCACACACTCACTCGCACACCCACACACAATCACTCGCACACCCAAACAATCACGCACACACACCCACACAATCACTCGCACACCCACACAATCACTCACACACTCACACAATCACTCACACACTCACACAATCACTCGCACACACCCACACAATCACTCGCACACCCACACAATCACTCACACCCACACACACACCCACACAATCAGTAAGTCGTCCTCTCTCTATCTCTCTGTGCTCGCTCTCCCCCCAGGTTCTTGGAGAGTAACTGGTTCGTCTGGGTCACTCAGATGAACCACATCCCCATGAACATCGACCGAGACCACCAGCGAGACTGGACCACCACGCAGGTACCACGGTTCACGACCCCCCACCCCACCCCCCATCACCACCCCACCCACCCACCCCCCCTCCCCACCCACCCCCTCCACCCCCTCCCCACCCACCCCCTCCACCCCCTCCCCACCCACCCCCTCCACCCACCCCCCCACCCACCCCCCGCCCCACCCACCACCCTCCACCCACCCCCTCTCACCACCGGGTTGAGGGAGGCTGCAAGGTGCAGGGTGCAGTGTGCAGGGTGCAGGGTGCAGGAGGCAGCGTGCAGGGTGCAGGGTGCAGGAGGCAGGGTGCAGTGTGCAGGGTGCAGGAGGCAGGGTGCAGGGTGCAAGGGTGCAGTGTGCAGGGTGCAGTGTGCAGGAGGCAGGGTGTTGGGTGCAGGAGGCATGAGGCAGTGTGCAGGAGGCAGGGTGCAGGAGGCAGGGTGCAGGAGGCAGGGTGCAGGGTGCAGTGTGCAGGAGGCAGGGTGCAGGGTTCAGGGTGCAGGGTGCAGGAGGCAGGGTGCAGGGTTCAGGGTGCATGGTGCAGGGTGCAGGAGGCAGGGTGCAGGAGGCAGGGTGCAGGAGGCAGCGTGCTGGGTGCAGGAGGCAGGGTGCAGGGTGCAGGAGGCAGGGTGCAGGGTGCAGGAGGCAGGGTGCAGGAGGCAGGAGGCAGGAGGCAGGGTGCAGGGTGCAGGCACAGGGTGCAGGGTGCAGGCACAGGGTGCAGGGTGCAGGAGGCAGTGTGCAGGGTGCAGGGTGCAGAAGGCAGCGTGCAGGGTGCAGTGTGCATGGTGCAGGGTGCAGGGTGTATGGTGCAGGGTGCTTGGTGCAGTGTGCAGGGTGCAGGAGGCAGGGTGCGGTGTGCAGGGTGCAGTGTGCAGTGTGCAGGGTGCAGGGTGCAGGAGGCAGGGTGCAGGGTGCAGGGTGCAGTGTGCAGGGTGCAGGGTGCAGTGTGCATGGTGCAGGGTGCAGGGTGTATGGTGCAGGGTGCTTGGTGCAGTGTGCAGGGTGCAGGGTGCAGTGTGCAGGGTGCAGGAGGCAGGGTGCGGTGTGCAGGGTGCAGTGTGCAGTGTGCAGGGTGCAGGAGGCAGGGTGCAGGGTGCAGGAGGCAGGGTGCAGTGTGCAGGGTGCAGGAGGCAGGGTGCGGTGTGCAGGGTGCGGTGTGCAGTGTGCAGGGTGCAGGAGGCAGGGTGCAGGGTGCAGGAGGCAGGGTGCAGTGTGCAGGGTGCAGGAGGCAGGGTGCGGTGTGCAGGGTGCAGGGTGCAGTGTGCAGGGTGCAGGGTGCAGGAGGCAGGGTGCAGGGAGAGAGTCATCCACGTGACACCGCCTCTGTTCTGCTGTTGTCTGCGTGTGGCTGTGGCTTCAACTCAGTTGCAAGCAACGTGCAACGTTGACCAGTCGCTCTTCAACGACTGGTTCACGGGACACCTCAACTTCCAGATCGAGCACCAGTGAGTGTCACCATCATCATCACCATCATCACCATCATTAACATCATCAACACTGCCGCCACCACCATCATCATCATCACCATCATCAACAGTACCACCACCATCATCATTAACATTGTCACCATCATCGCCATCATCAACATCATCAACACTGCCGCCACCTCCACCATCATCACTATCATTAACTTCATCAATACTACCACCACCATCATCATTAACATTGTCACCATCATCATCATCATCGCCATCATCAACATCATCAACACTGCCACCACCACCATCATCACCATCATCAACATCATCAACACTACCGCCATCACCATCATCACTATCATCAACATCATCAACACTGCCACCACCATCATCATCACTATCATTAACATCATCAACACTACCACCACCATCATCACTATCAGTAACGTCATCAATACTACCGCCATCACATCATCATCACCATCATCAACATCATCAACCTACCACCATCATCATCACCATCATCAACATCATCAACACTACCACCATCATCACCATCATCAACATCATCAACACTACCACCACCATCATCATCACCATCATCAACATCATCAACACTACCACCATCATTACCATCATCAACATCATCAACACTACCACCACCATCATCACTATCATCAACATCATCAACACTACCGCCACCATCATCACCATCATCAATATCATCAACACTACCACCACCATCATCATCACCATCATCAACATCATCAACACTACCACCACCATCATCACTATCATCAACATTATCAACACTACCGCCATCAGATCATCATCACCATCATCACCATCATCAACACCCTCACCATCATAATTAACACTGTCATTATTATCATCATCACCATCATCAACACCACCATCATCAACATCAACATCGTCAACATCGTCAACATCAACACCACCATCGTCACCATCGTCAGCATCGTCAGCATCATCAACATCTACACCATCAACACTGCGACCATCATCATTAACACTGTCATCAAAACCATCACCATCAACACCACCACCATCATAAACACCACCATCATCATTAACACTGTCATCAAAACCATCACCATCAACACCGCCACCATCATAAACACCACCATCATCATTAACACTGTCATCAAAACCATCACCATCAACACCACCACCATCATAAACACCACCATCATCATTAACACTGTCATCAAAACCATCACCATAAACACCACCACCATCATTAACACCACCATCATCATTGACACTGTCATCAAAACCATCACCATCAACACCACCACCATCATTAACACCACCATCATCATTGACACTGTCATCAAAACCATCACCATCAACACCACCACCATCATTAACACCACCATCATCATTGACACTGTCATCAAAACCATCACCATCAACACCACCACCATCATAAACACCACCATCATCATTAACACTGTCATCAAAACCATCACCATCAACACCACCACCATCATAAACACCACCATCATCATTGACACTGTCATCAAAACCACCATCATAAACACCACCACCATCATAAACACCACCATCATCATTAACACTATCATCAAAACCATCACCATCAACACCACCACCATCATAAACACCACCATCATCATTGACACTGTCATCAAAACCATCACCATAAACACCACAACCATCATAAACACCACCATCATCATTAACACTGTCATCAAAACCATCACCATCAACACCACCACCATCATAAACACCACCATCATCATTGACACTGTCATCAAAACCACCATCATAAACACCACCACCATCATAAACACCACCATCATCATTAACACTATCATCAAAACCATCACCATCAACACCACCACCATCATAAACACCACCATCATCATTGACACTGTCATCAAAACCATCACCATAAACACCACAACCATCATAAACACCACCATCATCATTGACACTGTCATCAAAACCATCACCATCAACACCACCACCATCATAAACACCACCATCATCATTGACACTGTCATCAAAACCATCACCATCAACACCACCACCATCATAAACACCACCATCATCATTGACACTGTCATCAAAACCATCACCATCAACACCACCACCATCATAAACACCACCATCATCATTGACACTGTAATACTGTGTAGGAACCTCCTGGTTACTACACCACCAGCCCACGGGGGATTATTGTGTCTATCCGTCCGTCGTGCATCGAAAAATGGGAGGGGTGGGGCTGGGTGGAGAGGGGAGAGTGGGGAGGGGCTGGGTGGGGAGAGTGGGGGGTGGGGAGGGGCTGGGTGGGGAGGGTGGGGCTGGGTAGGGTGGGGAGGGGCTGGGTTGGGGAGGGGCTGGGAGGGGAGGGTGGGGAGGGGAGGGTGGGGCTGGGTAGGGTGGGGAGGGGAGCGTGGGGAGGGGCTGGGTGAGGAGGGGAGGGTGGGGAGGGGCTGGGTGGGGAGGGTCTGGTGGGGAGGGTGGGGCAGGGTGGGGTGGGGCTGGGTGGGGTGGACTGAGTGGGGAGGGTGGGGCTGGGTGGGGTGGGGCTGGGTGGGGTGGGGCTGAGTGGGGAGGGTGGGGCTGGGTGGGGGCTGGGTGGGGAGGGTCTGGGTGGGGAGGGTGGGGAGGGGCTGGGTGGGAGGGGTTGGGCTGGGTGCGGAGGGGCTGTTCACCCCGTGGTGCCCTTATAAAACTCAACGTTTCACCTACTCACGCCGGCTTGTGCCCGCCCTCACCACTTGTGCTGAACACACCACGTGGTGCCGCCGCTCTTGTTGTTGACCCTGGCCATTGACCGAGCAACCCAACGTTCCTACCAGCCCCCTCCGCAGGAGAATGTGTTTATTGGCAAACGTAACGCTAGTAAACGTCAGCTAATGGACTTTACAGAGGGAACAAGGTGATAGAGAGAAACATTTATTAGAAAAGATATCAAACTTAGAAATGTAATGCAAACTCGGAGAGTTGGCCAACACGACGGTTAACAACTACACCTGGTTGAACAACGTCTTTCCAAAGATCGCAAAATTTTGCACCCATGTGTGTGGAAATCCTGCCCCGTAGACGCGGTTCAATCTTGATTTGAAGCAACCCGTGGCTGTGGGAATTCACACTCTGCGGTTCTTGCGGTGAAGATAGCTAATAGATCGCGACGCTTCGGTAGCAACACGAGCCACCGTCTTCAGGCGAAGCAAAATACAGCAGGCGGACTGCTGAGGCAGGAGGAAATGTAGCGAGAGAGCTACCTCAACCAGAGGTTTTATACGTTTGTGGTGGATGTAACCCAAGGGTAAGTGGGCAGGGCTAGGTGACAGGATATGCAAGTAAATGTAAAATATTCTTGGTTCTTTCGGTAAGGTCACGTAGAAGGGAAACAATAAAATAGTTATTAATTTATTGAAACAATAAAATAATTTTGATTTAAAGCTTTCGTGACTGCGGCAATTCATATTCTCAGCTCTTTCGGTAAAGTCACGTTGAAGGGAAAACAATAAAATAATAAAATATATATAAAACAATAAAAATTCTCACGACGTTTCGACCATAACACAAACGGTTGTCATCAGGTGTGTCGGTTTGCATTTTATTGTTTTATATATATTTTTATTATTTTATTGTTTCCCTTCAACGTGACTTTACCGTAAGAGCTAAGAATATGAATAAAATATGTATTATTTTATTTTATTGTTTCCCTTCTACGTGACTTTACCGAATATGAATCCCTGCAGTCACGAACGCTTTAAATCTAAATTTAAATGTAACATTTTAAATTATTTTTAATTTACATTTAATTTTACTGTTTTTTATTTTATTTTATTGTGGGTTTGCTGCTTTTGTTATTTTCAATTTATCATTTTTTTACGTGATTTTTATTATTTGTATATATATTGTTTTTTTTTTCTTTCTATCTACGTGACTTTACCGACAGCACCAAGAATATGAATTCCTGCAATCACGAAACCTTTAAGTCTAAGTTGGTTGGTGTTGATGATAATGATATTGATGTTGTTGATGTTGTTGATTGTGTTGATGCTAGTGTGGTTGATGTTTGTGTTGATGTTGATATTAATGTTGTTGATGATGTTGTCAGTGTTGTTGATGATAATGATTTTGATATTGATGATGTTGTTAATGTTGTTGATTTTGTTGATGTTAGTGTGGGTTGATGTTGGTGTTGATAATGTTGATATTAATGTTGTTGATGATGTTGTTAGTGTTGTTGATGATAATGATTTTGATATTGATGATGATGATGTTGATGATGTTGTTAATATTCTTGGTTATTAATGTTGTTGATGTTGTTGTTAGTGTTGTTGATGGTAATGATTTTAATATTGATGATGTTGTTAATGTTGTTGATGTTAGTGTTGTTGATGTTGGTGTTGATAATGTTGATGATGTTGATGCTGTTGATATTAATGTTGTTGATGTTGTTGTTAGTGTTGTTGATGATAATGATTTTGATATTGATGTTGATGATGTTGTTAGTGTTGTTGATGTTTGTGTTGATAATATTGATGATGTTGATATTAATGTTGTTGTTAGTGTTGTTGATGATAATGATTTTGATATTGATGTTGATGATGATGTTGTTAGTGTTGTTGACGATGTTGATGATGTTGATATTGATGATGTTGATATTAATGTTATTGATGATGTTGTTAGTGTTGTTGACAATGTTGATGATGTTGATCATGATGATGTTGGTATTAATGTTATTGATAATGTTGTTAGTGTTGTTGACGATGTTGATGACGATGTTGATCATGATGATGTTGTTGATGTTGTTGACGTTTCCAGCCTCTTCCCCACGATGCCACGTCACAACTACCACAAGGTGTCTCCGCTCGTCAAGTCGCTCTGCAGCAAGCACGGCCTGGACTACCAGAGCAAGACGCTCATCACCGCGTTCGGTGATATTGTGCGGTGAGACATTGGTGGGGAGACACGGGGGGTGGAGAAATGGGGGGAGACGCGGAGGGCGGGGGGGGGGGGGGCGGATAGTGGGGCGGAGAGCGGGGATAAACGGGGGAGAGACACGGGGGAGAGACACGGGGGAGACACACGGGGGAGACACGGGGGAGAGACACGGGGGAGAGACACGGGGAGAGACACGCGGGGGAGAGACACGGGGGAGAGACGTGGGGGAGAGACGTGGGGGAGAGACGCGGGGGAGAGACACGGGGGGAGAGACGCGGGGGAGAGACACGGGGGGAGAGACACGGGGGAGAGACGTGGGGGAGAGACACGGGGAGAGACGCGGGGGAGAGACGCGGGAGAGAGACGCGGGGGAGACACACGGGGGGAGAGACATTGGGGAGAGACGCGGGGGAGAGACACGTGGGAGACACACGGGGGAGACACGGGGGAGACACACGGGGGGGGAGACACGGGGGAGACACACGGGAGGAGAGACGTGGGAGAGAGACGCGGGGGAGAGACACGGGGGGAGAGACACGGGGGGAGAGACGCGGGGGAGAGACGCGTGGGAGAGACGCGGAGGAGAGACGCGGGAGAGAGACGTGGGGGAGAGACGCGGGGGAGAGACACACGGGGGGAGAGACACGGGGGGGAGACACGGGGTAGAGACACGGGGGAGAGACATGTGAGAGAGACACGTGGGAGACACGGGGGAGAGACGCGGGGGAGAGACGCGGGGGGGAGAGGCACGGGGGGAGAGACACGGGGGAGAGACACGGGGAAGACACACGGGGGAGAGACACGGGGGAGACATGGGGGAGAGACATGGGGGAGAGACGCGGGGGAGAGACGCGGGGGAGAGACACGGGGGGAGAGACACGGGGGAGAGACACGGGGGAGAGACACGGGGGAGAGACACGGTGGAGAGACACGTGGGGGAGAGGCACGGGGGAGAGACGCGTGGGAGAGACGCGTGGGAGAGACGCAGGGGAGAGACACGGGGGGAGAGACACGGAGGAGAGACACAGGGGAGAGACACGTGGGAGACACACGGGGGAGAGACACGGTGGAGAGACACGTGGGGGAGAGACACGGTGGAGAGACGCGTGGGAGAGACGCGGGGGAGAGACGCGGGGGAGAGACGCGGGGGAGAGACACGGAGGAGAGACACGGGGGAGAGACACGGGGGAGACACACGGGGGAGAGACACGGTGGAGAGACACGTGGGGGAGAGACACGGGGGAGAGACGCGTGGGAGAGACGCGGGGGAGAGACGCGGGGGAGAGACGCGGGGGGGAGAGACACGGGGGGGGGAGACACGGGGGGGGAGACACGGGGGGGGAGACACGGTGGGGGAGACACGGGGGGTGAGACACGGGGGGGAGAGACACGGGGGGAGAGACACGGGGGAGAGACACGTGGGAGAGACACGGGGGAGAGACACGTGGGAGAGACACGTGGGAGAGACAAGGGGGGGAGAGACACGGGGGGGGAGAGACACGGGGGGGGGAGAGACACGGGGGGGGGAGAGACACGGGGGAGACACGGGAGAGAGACACGGGGAAGAGACACGGGGGGGGAGAGACACGGGGGGGGAGAGACACGGGGGAGACACGGGGGAGAAACACGGGGGAGAGACGCGGGGGAGAGACACGGTGGAGAGACACGGGAGAGAGACACGGGGAAGAGACACGGGGAGAGACACACGTGGGGGAAGACACGTGGGAGACACACGGGGGAGAGACACGGGGGGGGAGAGACACGGGGGAGACACGGGGGAGAGACACGTGTAAGAGACACGGGGGGAGAGACACGGGGGGAGAGACACGGGGGGGAGACACGGGGAGAGAGACACGGGGGAGAGACACGGGGGAGAGACACGGGGGAGAGACACGGGAGAGACACGGGGGGAGAGACACGGGGGGAGAGACACGGGGGGAGAGACACGGGGGGAGAGACACGGGGGGAGAGACACGGGGGGGGAGACACGGGGGGGGGAGACACGGGAGAGAGACACGGGGAGGGAGACACGTGGGGGGAGACACGTGGGGGGAGACACGGGGGGGGAGACACGGGGGGGGGGAGACACGGGGGGAGAGACACGGGGGGGAGACACACGGGGGGGAGACACGGGGGAGAGACACGGGGGAGAGACACGGGGGGGAGACACGAGGGAGAGACACGGGGGAGAGACACGGGGGTAGAGAGACACGGGGGTAGAGAGACACGGGGGGAGAGAGACACGGGGGGAGAGAGACACGGGGGGAGATAGACACGGGGGGAGAGAGACACGGGGGGAGAGAGACACGGGGGGGAGAGAGACACGGAGGGGGGGGAGAGACACGGGGGGAGAGAGACACGTGGGAGAGACACGGGGGGGAGAGACACGGGGGGGGAGAGACACGGGGGGGGGGAGAGACACGGGGGAGACACGGGAGAGAGACACGGGGAAGAGACACGGGGGGGGAGAGACACGGGGGGCGAGAGACACGGGGGAGACACGGGGGAGAAACACGGGGGAGAGACGCGGGGGAGAGACACGGTGGAGAGACACGGGAGAGAGACACAGGGAAGAGACACGGGGAGAGACACACGTGGGGGAAGACACGTGGGAGACACACGGGGGAGAGACACGGGGGGGGAGAGACACGGGGGAGACACGGGGGAGAGACACGTGTAAGAGACATGGGGGGAGAGACACGGGGGGAGAGACACGGGGGGAGAGACACGGGGGGGAGACACGGGGATAGAGACACGGGGGAGAGACACGGGGGAGAGACACGGGGGAGAGACACGGGAGAGACACGGGGGGAGAGACACGGGGGGAGAGACACGGGGGGGGAGACACGGGGGGGGAGACACGGGAGAGAGACACGGGGAGGGAGACACGGGGGGGGAGACACGGGGGGGGAGACACGGGGGGGGGAGACACGGGGGGAGAGACACGGGGGGGAGACACACGGGGGGGAGACACGGGGGAGAGACACGGGGGAGAGACACGGGGGGGGAGACACGAGGGAGAGACACGGGGGAGAGACACGGGGGTAGAGAGACACGGGGGTAGAGAGACACGGGGGGAGAGAGACACGGGGGGAGAGAGACACGGGGGGAGAGAGACACGGGGGGAGAGAGACACGGGGGGAGAGAGACACGGAGGGGGGGGGAGAGACACGGGGGGAGAGAGACACGTGGGAGAGACGGGGGGAGAGAGACACGGAGGAGAGACACGGGGGGACAGAGACACGTGGGAGAGACACGGGGGGGGAGAGACACGTGGGAGAGACACGGTGGGGGAGAGACACGGGGGGAGAGAGACACGGGGGGAGAGATACACTGGGGGAGAGAGACACGTGGGAGAGACGGGGGGAGAGAGACACGGAGGAGAGACACGGGGGGAGAGAGACACGTGGGAGAGACACGGGGGGGAGAGACACGGGGGGAGAGACGCGGGGGAGAGACGCGGGGGAGAGATGCGTGGGAGAGACGCGGAGGAGAGACGCGGGAGAGAGACGCGGGGGAGAGACGCGGGGGAGAGACACACGGGGGGAGAGACACGGGGGAGAGACACATGGGAGAGACACGGGGGAGAGACACGGGGGAGAGACACGGGGGAGAGACGCGGGGGAGAGACGCGGGGGAGAGACACGGGGGAGAGACACAGAGGAGAGACACAGTGGAGAGACACGTGGGGGAGAGGCGGGGGAGAGACGCGTGGGAGAGACGTGTGAGAGAGACGCGGGGGGAGAGACACGGGGGGAGAGACACGGGGGAGACACACGGGGGAGAGACACGGGGGAGAGACGCGGGGAGACACGGGGGAGAGACGCGGGGGAGAGACGCGGGGGAGAGACACGGGGGGAGAGACACGGGGGATAGACACGGGGGAGAGACACGGGGGAGAGACACGGTGGAGAGACACGTGGGGGAGAGGCACGGGGGAGAGACGCGTGGGAGAGACGCGTGGGAGAGACGCGGGGGAGAGACACGGGGGGAGAGACACGGAGGAGAGACACGGGGGAGAGACACGGGGGAGACACACGGGGGAGAGACACGGTGGAGAGACACGTGGGGGAGAGACGCGTGGGATAGACGCGGGGGAGAGACGCGGGGGAGAGACGCGGGGGAGAGACACGGGGGGGAGAGACGCGTGGGATAGATGCGGGGAGACGCGGGGGAGAGACGCGGGGGAGAGACATGGGGGAGAGACACGGGGGGAGAGGCACGGGGGAGAGACGCGTGGGAGAGACGCGTGGGAGAGACACGGGGGGAGAGACACGGAGGAGAGACACGGGGGAGAGACACGGGGGAGACACACGGGGGAGAGACACGGTGGAGAGACACGTGGGGGAGAGACACGGGGGAGAGACGCGTGGGAGAGACGCGGGGGAGAGACGCGGGGGAGAGACGCGGGGGGGAGAGACACGGGGGAGAGACACGTGGGGGAGAGACACTGGGGGGGAGACACGGGGGGGGAGACACGGGGGGGGAGACACGGGGGGGGAGACACGGGGGGGGAGACACGGGGGGGGAGACAAGGGGGGGGAGACACGGGGGGAGAGACACGGGGGAGAGACACGTGGGAGAGACACGTGGGAGAGACACGGGGGGGAGAGACACGGGGGGAAGAGACGCGGGGGGGGGGGGGAGAGACACAGGGGGAGAGACACGGGGGAGAGACACGGGGGGAGAGACACGTGGGAGAGACACGTGGGAGAGACACGTGGGAGAGACACGGGGGGGAGAGATACGGGGGGGGGAGAGACACGGGGGGGGGGAGAGACACGGGGGAGACACGGGGGAGAAACACGGGGGAGAGACGCGGGGGAGAGACACGGGGGCGAGACACGGGAGAGAGACACGGGGAAGAGACACGGGGAGAGACACACGTGGGGGAAGACACGTGGGAGACACACGGGGGAGAGACACGGGCGGGGAGAGACACGGGGGAGACACGGGGGAGAGACACGTGTAAGAGACACGGGGGGAGAGACACGGGGGGAGAGACA